AACAATAGGTGTGCAGAAAAGAGTAATTCCAATGGGGTGGATGTCAAGAAAGAACAATTTCACTTGGGCCTTGGTAAGGCAGAGGGGACCGGCGTGAGCTAGGGCAGCGGGGCTGGAGAGGCATGAGTTGGGCAGGGGGGCTGGAGAGGCATGAGTTAGGGCAGGGAGGCTGGGGAGGCATGAGCAGCAATCACAGCACACCGTGTCCCAAGGGCGGTGTAGGACAGAGTCCCCAAAGGGTAAAACCAAGCTCAGGGGACCCAGCCACAGGGTGGAGTATGATCAGATTTGTGCTTCCTACAACAGGTCCGATCTAGAGGGCAATTTGGCAACGTATCAAGTGTCCCGACATTTGTATCCTTCAACTCAGTCATTCCAGAGGAAATTATCAAAAATGTGCACAAAGATTTATATTCAGCAGTGCTTATCACAACATTATTTATAGCAGCCCAAAGCTCAAAATAACTTGAATGTCCAATAAAAGAAGACTGCTAAATAAATTACGGTACCCGGTGTGATTAAATCATACACAGCCATTAAATCATATTTCCAGAGAATGTGTGATGACAGAGAGTAAGCTTTGCTCGACAATATGAGGTGGTAAAAAGGCAAGACACAAAAACCGACACCAAGTATCCATGGAGTATCTGCTGCGCACCAGGCAGGGTTGGAAGCCCGCTGGATGCAGCAGAGAACAAAATAGATAAGAGTTCCTGAGCACATGGGAATGGCTTCTGCCTTCTAACGAGGGAAGACAGACAACAAGCAAACAAACACATTGCAATAAGCAGCCAGCAGAAGTGCATAGGCGGTGAGACGTGCTATGGAGAAAATCAAACCGAAAAAGGGATAGGACATTGGAGGACGGTAGAGATTTTACATCAGTGGGCGGGGGGCTCTCGGAGGAGGGGGAATGAGGTAAGCCAAGGGTCAGCGGCAGAAGGAACTGAACGGTGCCCAAGCCATGAAGAGGCCTCCTCAGAAAGGCCAACGGAGCAGACGCCATCAGCTAAATGGTGGGAGAATGAGGTCACAGGGGCAGGGAGTGTCTCTGGGGAAGGCTGGGACCAGAGGAATGGCTTGAGAGTGGGAGTCCAAGGGCAGAAGCAGAGAGGCCGGCTGGGATTGTTCCCGGTGCTTTTCCAGTTTTCTAGAACGGGGATCTCTGAGAGCGCAGCATCTGGATACTGTGACTGGAGACACGGGAACAAGGAGGTTACTGGAACGACTCAGACGAGGGCAAGGAAGCCGAGGGAAGCCAAAGAGGAGGACCGATTCTAGTGTCTATGAATTTGTTTCTCTAGTCTACCCAGACTAACACATGTTAATAGGAGGTCATCCGGGAGTAGGGTGAATCCTAACCCAACATGGCTGGTGACTGATGTCAAAAAGGAAAGAAATACAAGTCTGGTGCAAACAAAGAATGCCCCACCATCTCACCATCCCCCCAAAATCAGTACTTCACATTTTGGTATATTTCCTTCCAAACTGGCTCTGAGATACGTGCCCCCACCCCTCCTTCCCTTAACCACCCTACAACACCAGCACACCGGAGACATGTCAATCGTCAAGGAGGAACGAACTGGACGGCCTAAATAACATTACGTTCACCATTCTTCAACTGCACATGAACTCTACTATCAGCCCTTCAGGTAGTTTTTAAGAGCCTGGTTGAACAGAATGGACATCGCGGACGAGCAGGAGGAATGGCCGAGAGGGTGAACGATTCCACTTTGCCGGACAAGAATATGGCAATACTATTCATCAAGGGCATCCAAAGAGACCAGTTTGATGAGGAAAATACTGGTAACTTGGAGGGGTTCAGAGAAGGGCTCTACAGATGCTCAGCTGTCCATCTCTCCAGAGCTCAGGTGAGAATAAGAGCTGGGTACCTGGGGTGGCGGCAGTCCCTACCCCAGGCCAGCCATTGTACTGAGCGCTTCATACAGCGTCCTTCTTCCGCGTCACAAGAAACCTCTGAGGTGGGGAGTCACAGGCTCATTTCAGAGAGGACATGCTGAAGGTCTCTGAGGGTTAGGTTTCTCCAGTTGCTCTGCAGCAAAGCCACAACTCAAACCCAGGGGTCTGGGCACGGTTATCGGTTGACTTGTGTTGTTGTTGTTGTGTTGTTTGGTGCCACTGAGACAGCTGTGATCCTATGCACAACTGAACAAAGCACTGCCTGGCCCTGCGCCCTCCTCACCACCGTCCCCAGCTCGAGCACATTGCAGCAGCCACTGTGTCCATCCAGCTCATTGAGGGCTTTCCCCGTTTTCGCTGCCCCTCTCCTCTACCACGCACGAGGCCTTTCTCTGAGGCCCCATCTCTCCTGACACGTCCGTCCAAAGCAGGCAAGATGAAGTCTCGCCGTTCTTGCCTCTACGGAGCACTCTGGCCATGCTTCTTCCAAGACAGATTGGTCTGTCCTCTTGGCCGTCCATGGTCCTTTCCATATTCCTTGCCAGTACAACAATTCAGACACCGATTCTGCTTGGGTCTTCCTAATTCAATGTCCAACCTTCACAGGAGTATGAGGAGAGTGACAATATCATGGTTTGGGTCAGGTGCACGTTAGTTCTCCAATGAGTAGTCTTGCTTTCTCAAGAATTAATTTAATATTCTTGCTTTCTCAATAGTTCTCAAAACACAAGAGAGGTCCTGCACGAACAGACTAGCTCAATACAAGGTGTCTTCTGTTCTCTTCACTGTTGCTTCCATGAGCACTGGCTGGATCCAAAAAAGCCAAAACCCTTGACAGCTGAAATCTTTTCTCCATTAACCAGGATGTTACCTAGTGGTCCAGTTGTGAGGATTTTTGGTCATCTTCACAGCGAGTTGTAATCCATACTAAAGGCTGTAATTTTTTATCTTCATCAGCGTGTGCTTCAAATCCTCCTCTCAGCGAGAAAGCAAGGTTGTGTCGTTTGCACATAGTAAGCCTTCTACTACTCCTGATGCCATATTCTTCATATAACCCAGCTTCTCTGATTATTTGATCAGGGTTGCATTGTAGGTCCACCCCCCAAAAAAAAGGGGGGGTATGTTGAGGTCCTAACCCCTAAGACCTGAGAAAGTGGCCTTGTTTGGAACTAGGGTCTTGGAAGATGTAAAGAGTTATGTTATGTGAGAGTTACATAACCTGGTGTCAACTTGAGACTATTAAGAATGAAGGCGTGGAGTTTGGCCTGTCAATCAGGTTGCAGCTTGATGACCTCATTTGGAGGCACTAAGGAGATAAATAGCTCGCTGGAGGCAGGACACACACTCACTCGCTGCTAGACATTTCTGTTGACAAGCCACATGGAGATATGCTGTCAATAGCCAAAGCCTTGGGAGGAGCCAAGTGGAGACCCATGCCAGCGCTAAGATGCTTCCACTGCCACTGGATCCAGAAGACTTTCCACCCACTGGCCTATGATCTTCCTGTATTCAGCATCATTGCATGTGTTGCATGAGTCTGAAGAGGAATTTATAGACTGCTACTGGACATATGGGCTAATATCACATTTACGGACTTGATCTGGACTGGGCTGGGATGTTTTCTCAATGTACAATTACTCTTTATATAAAGCTCTTTCCTATACACATACTAGTGTCTATGAATTTATTTCTCTAGTCTACCCAGACTACCACATGTTAATAGGAGGTCATCCCGGAGTAGGGTGAATCCTAACCCAACATGGCTGGTGACTGATGTCATTTTAAAAGATAAGGCAGTAAGACAGACAGACAGACACAGAAAGGACAGCCATGTGACCACAGAGACAGAGATTGGAGTTATGCTACCACAAGTCCAGAACACGCAGGGCTACCAGAAACTGGAAGAGATAAGAAAGGAGCCTCTCCTAGAACCTTCAGAGGCAAGACAGCCCTACCAACACCTTGGTTCAGACTTCTGATCTCCAGAAACAGTGAGAGAATCCACTTCTGTTGTGTTAAGCCACATGGTTGAGGCAATGTATAACAGGAGCCTCAGGAACCCAGGAGAGGAGCTTTAACCATTTATTCCTGCTTCTGGCAATCAAACCCCAACCAAACCCACTGCCATGATGTCATTCCAGCTCGCAGGGACCCTATATAGTTTCTGAGACTGCAACCTTACGGGCAGCAGACAGCCTCACTTCTCCCGAGGAGTCATTGGTGGGTTTAGACAGCAGATCTCCCGGTTAGCGGCTCAACATCTAACCCACAACTTAAACTAGACCCAGAGTCCAAAGATGCCTGATTAGGCAATGCCTGGGTTTTGCTCTCAACTGTGTGGCTCCCAGCTCTACCAAAGGAACGGTGTCCTCTCCCACTTCAGGAAACCCATTAGACATGTTTCCCTCCTTAAAACTGTCATTTGCATTTTTCATGTGCTCGTATCGCCTCTCCCGCTCTAGGGAAGAAATTCCAAAAACTAAGACATGCCTCACAAAGCACCAGCCCAACGCTGCACATAGTAGGTGCTCAGTGAATGTTCTGGAGTGGTGAGATCGATCATACCTTGCCAGGGCCCCCAGGGCCAGTCCCGGTTTGCTCTAACCTCAGGACAGTGTAAGACACAGGTGACCCCCACACCTTCTGGGTCAAGGAAGGCAAAGCCACGCCCAGACAGACAAACACTTGTGACAAATGACAGAGAACAGGCAGGTGAGTTCAGGCAGGTATCAGGGGATCAGCATGAGGAGAGGAGGCAAGTTTCCAAAACGGGTGGCTCATACGCCAAATCCAGCTCACCCAGGGTTATGCTTTGGCACATCGTTTTGATTTGCCATCATCTTCACAGCAGATGTTAACTTGCCGCTCTCTTCCAGAACATAAGAGGTTTCACCGAAAAATCCGGATGACACATCCTCCACCCACTTCCCACTGTCACTCCCACCTCCTACTTTAAGTCGCTGCTAGCTCCCCACCCCCCCAACACACACACCTGCTCTAGCCCTGCAGGAAGGGAGGGCTGTGAGCACAGCCCCCCAAACCCCTGGGCTGCCCCTGAGCCTGCGCTCGCGCTCACTCACCGGCACTCAGCGTGGTGAACTCCAGGAAGCGGTACTCATAGGACACATCGATCTTGGTTTCCACCTGAGGCCTCTTCAAAGTTGAATAAATATTCCCAGGCCGTTTTTCATCGCGTTTCTCCAACTTATTCAGCCCACAACCCATTTCAGCAGCTGCAGCAACAGGGGGGGACGGGGGTGTGGAAAGGAGGGAAGGAAGAAGGTGAGATGTAGTGTGTTTTGTTGTCATCCTGAGAGTTTGCTTTTAAACATCATAGTATAAGAGACCCCCATGACATTTCGGAAGAAAAACATAAAGGACCCAGGCTTTATGAAATCTGGAGTATAATTTAATATCTGACATAAAACCACAGGAACGATGCCAGCTCTGTACCCGGGCTGGCTCCTCTTTCGGTCAAAAGACCCATACCGACCACCTTGGGATTTCAAAGTAGCCCCCCAAGCAGACCACTGTGTACAGAGAGATAGATATCTATTTTCTCTCCTCTCCGAGGAAAATCCGACTTCCTACTTGGTTCCATTATAATCTGCGTGTATGATTTGAAAATGGGATAAAAAAAGCAATAATCCTGTGCGTTCCATTGTCAATCCATCTGGAAAACACAGAACAAGACCAGGGTCACCTTCGCTGTGGGGGCCGGGAGAGAATACCAAGTTGTTACAATCTTCAAACTCCAAAGTCCTTTCTACCCCCAACAGTAATTATTTCGACTGGAATTTATATTCATAAGACGTCTCTAGAAGTTTATGGCCGTACTTTTATGAGGCCTTGTAGAAAAAGAAGGAAAAAGCCCCTTTTATTCAGTTTCAGCGCAAACTGCGGGAAATAATAGTACGCCTCCCCGGTCTTAGCCATTTTCAACCAAAATGAAAACTGGGTGAATGCTAATAGCAGAGCCAGAGAAATTGGAAGCAGGGATCCACGTGTGTTCTCGAGAAGATCTACTGCTAGAGTTTGGAAAGAAAATGGAGACGTGTTAAAATAATGTGCATCTAGGGTGGGCTCAGCTTCCAGTCTTTCAAGGGATTAAAAACAATGGAGGTGCTCGGTTTATTTAGGCACAATGACTTTTCCCCCACTCCCCAGAGTTCAGCGGGAGATATTTTCTTTTTTGTGCACGGAGCATGACCAATATTTCCCTCCTCTCTAGGGTCCGGGGGCTGCCATCAGAACATATTTCACAAAAAGATTAACGGGCCAAGAATATCACAAACAGAAACGCAGTGACCGCTTCCTTTCGGAGATAAGAATTTCCCTTTGCTCAATCCATTCACAAGGCACTTGGCTTCCTAAGGCAATTTGGCAGGCTCCAGAAAAACAAACTGAACCTCAAAAAAGCAGTATGTGGAGGGGGGCCGGAGGGGGGAGCAGGTTAGGGGGTGTAGCAACACTAGGCTATACTTTCAAGTAATTAGAAAAAAAAATTCAAAAGAATGGATGAGAACAGGAAGGCTTAGTTATGCCTTAATAAGGGAACATTAGCGTCCACAGGGCCAGAGCAGGCATGATTTATGTGCAATCTGCATGAACTGATTACTTGTAAAATACTCTGTAGTTCTGCAGATAAAATAGCTGATATGGACAGAGGCCGCATATTTAACTGCTCAAACAGTGGGCAGACTGGTACGTTCAGAGCCAAAGTGAAAGAGAAGCGGGTCTCGAGGCTCCTTGGAGTCTGGGGGAGGCAGGGGGAGCAGGCAAGCACAGACAAGACGAGCACTATTCACACCAGAGCAGAAGCAGAAATAACCCTGAGCCCAACACGGCACTGATCGGTGCACACTGACTGCAGGCCTACTATGGGCAAAACACCTCCAAGGGAGGGATTCACACAGTGTGGTCTTTGTTCTCTTGGTGAGGTCGACCAGACATTCACATAAAAGCATGTCTTCAAAAGGAGGTGTTTGAAATAGCTTTCGATGGGTAGATCTGAAATCAGAGTGCCTAGAGCGATGGTTGTCAACCTTCCTCATGCGGTGATCCGTTCATACAGTTCCTCATGTTGTGGTGACCCCCCACCCCAACCATAAATTATTTTTGTTGCTGCTTCATAACTATCATTTTGCTACTGTGATGAATTGGGCGACCCTTGTGAAAAGGTCGTTCAACACCCAAAGGGGTCACGCCCCACAGGTTGAGAAATGCTGACCTGGAGAAAGACCTCGCGGAGTGCTGGCCGGAAAGCACAATGTGTGCAGAGGAAGAACTAAAAGCATTAGAGTCACTGCCATTGAGTCAATGCCAACTCCCTGCGACCCCAGAGGACAGGGTAGAGCGGCCCCTGGGGGTTTCTGAGACTACGCGAACGGAAAGCCCAGTGCTGACCTTGAGGATGGTAACCCAGTGCATAACCAGACGCCACCAGGGCCCCAGGGTGAGAACAGGCAGTCCCCCACACAAACGCACTGCCATCCAGTGGGTGCCGGTTCATAGCCACTCTACAGCACAGGGCAGAACTGCCCTGGTGGGTTTTCTGAGACTGTAACGCTTGACAAAACAGATCATTTCATCTTTGGGAGCACTGCGAAAGGGGAGCCCCTCCCTCCAATGAGATGCAGCCCTTCGCCAACCATGGCTTACGAAACGGAGCGGTCTATACCGGCCTCTTGTGCAGTTAACAACCTGTACAACGGTGCATAGTGCAAAATCAATCACGGTTACTTAGCTGTATAAAATAAGCATGGAGGTGTTGGCAAAGATTTCTTAGACAAGACACACAAAGTTCTTGCCACAAGGGACCATTTTGATAGTGTGGGCTGTATTAACATTGAAAACTTCGGTTCTTCAAAATATACCTTTAAAATATGAAGACTAGGACACTTTTTTAAAGCTGAATATATTTAGCTAACAGTAAATCAGCTTGTTGAAGGAGAAAACAATGGATTTGGAGTGTTCGCCAATTTCCAGGGTATGAGCGCTCCCACCACGGCAGATTCATGTGGCCAACATGCTGTCACGGAGCAGGGTTGGGAGACGAGGCAGACCATCTGCTCTCATGATCAGGCTTCTGCACACCACTGCACGCCTTCAACAAATGATTCCCATCTGCAATCAGTCACAGAGCTACTACACACCATTAAGGAAAAGACAGGCTCTGCTCTAGCAAATGGGTCTGAGGCCTGAAGAAACCCTCCACAAAAGAGGCTGTACACACGGCCAACAAGCAGCAAAGAAGCACCGCTTCTTCACTTCTCGGGGCAATGGAAAGGAAGACTACAAGATACATGCTACACTGACTGGGAGAGCACACGCGTTTTAAAACCTGACAGTATCAAGTGTTAGGAGAGGAAGCAAAATAAATAGAATTCCCTTCATGGGCAGTGGATGTGCAAGTTGGTAAAACCACTTAGGAAAATCGGCAAGCTGTATGGCGCCCTCCCTGGTGGCAGTGGAGTCCTGGTAGAGTAATGCTTATGAATTGGGCTGCCAACCATGAGGTCAGTAGTTTGAAACCACCAGGAGCTCCGTGGGGAAAAAGATGAGGCTTTCTACTCCCGTAAAGAGTTACAGTCTTGGAAACCCACAGGGGCAGTTCTACTCTGGCCCACAGGGTCATGAGTGGGAATGGATTTGTTGGCAGTGATTTTTATTTGGAAGCCCATTTTATTTGGATGCCCATCCTGTGACCCAGTAATTCCACTCATAGCCCATGCCAACAGAAATGCCCACCTGTGAGCAGAATGCTCACAGCAGCACTCCTGTTAGCACCCCACTGAAAACTGCCCAAAGGCTTTAGAGTAGAATGAGTAAGTAAATTGTAGTCTAGTCACACCAAGAAACACTAGAGAGCAATGAAAACACTACACTAGAATGACACACAGCACAGTTGAATGTAAAACAAACAAAACATATAATCCCCCTATGTGTCCACCCACTCTCAACAGGTTGATTCCAATTCACAGTGACGCTATAAAGGGTTTCCTGACTTACAATATTCCCAGGAGCAGATGACCTCATCTTCTTCCTACTGAGGAAACTGCTGCTGGTGGGCTTGAACCACCAACTTCCCCATGAGCTGTCCACTGTTTGTCCTACAATGCCACCAGGTTTCTTCCCCAAACAAAAAACCTCACCGCCGTGGAGTCAATGCTGACTCATAGCGACCCTACAGAACAGGGTAGAACTGCCCCTGAGGGTTTCTGGGGCTTGAACTGCTGACGGGAGTAGAAAGCCTCCACTTTCTCTGGAGGAGTGGTTTTTCACAGCCCGACGCCTAACCCATTGCACCCCCTATGTACAGTAGATGAAAAGGTTCAAAAACAGATGAATAAGCACACAGCCCTGGAAATGTACAGAGATCTCTAGCAATGATTCTAAGCCAAAAAAAAAGAGAGACAACATCAATTACACACCAGGGCAACAGGTCCTCAGGATCAGCTAGAACACAACCTTAACGATCCAACTCACCACCCTGGAGTTCACTGCAGCTCAAGAGTTACCCTGTATAAGGTTTCTGGGACTTCAGATTCTTATAGGAGCAGACAGGCTCACCTTTATGCTGAGGAACTGCTGGTGGGTTTGAAAGTAGACCTCGCAGTTAGCAACCCAACACCCCACCAGGGGCTCCGCATGCACAAACGACATCCATTTCACCCGACGGTCCCAGTGAAGTCATGTGCGTGTACAGCGCAGAGTGCTGCAAAGGGGAGGGGCCTATTCTCTCCATCAAGACAAGGACATGCTCTCCGGACCCTACCTGGGCTTACTGGCCACCAGGCTGAAGATAGATGAGTGGTCACACAAGGGAGGGCGGTCGTCCTGGCCCTGCTGTGACGTCAGTTCTCGCTCACTGTGGAGGACCGAGTGTTTGGAGACCTATACAAAGAAGCCTCTTTCTCAGAAACACTACTACTTGCGTTGCCCTATTCTATCAATTCTAGCATCAAAGGCCCATGCCTTTGAAATCAGATTCTAAAGTCACAAGCATCTCCTGTTGAACCACAAAGCTCCCCTTTGGAAGAGGCAGGGGTTGGTAGTCACTCACACTTTAGTGTGATTTGATGTCTTCTATAAAGAATGACTTACCTGACAGCAGAAAGAAGGAAGGACAGAGTTACCGAGATGAATGGAGAGCACTCAGGAAAGGTAGGTGGGGCAGGGGTGGGGGTGGGGGTGGGGGGAAGATGGATTGGGAGAATTCCTTTAACAGATG